GTGGCCTTCTCACTGTGGTCTCCCATGGCCCTTCCTCAGTGCACGTGGCCTTCTCACTGTGGTCTCCCATGGCCCTTCCTCAGTGCACGTGTACAGGAAGAGAGCGAGCAAGCTCTCTGGGGGCTCATCTTATAAGGACACTAATTCTATCAGATCAGGACCGCAGCATCAAGACCTCATATAACTTCAGTTACTTCCTTATGTTAGGACTTAGTTGGACAGTTAGATAGTCAGGGCCAGAGTCCCCAGCAAGAAAATATGGAGTCAGGACAGCTAAGATAAAACAGCACTGACATCCTGTTTTGCAGCTTAGACAGGACTGCGCTAGCATTCTGCTTTGCAGCCTTTGCAGAAATGACTTCTGCAAAATGTCCTAAAATAAGACAACCACAAAAGCATTTGTCAATATCACGGGCAAGGGGCAGTGAAGCCATAAGCCCCCAGACATCAGCAAAAAAAGAGCATTTGCACAGAGACATTAACCTAATAGGTAGACAGATCCGTAACCAAAGCCCTAATTGGCATGACTCAGCACACCCTGATTGCTTAAGATAGTTCAGCAAAAGAGTTCATAAAAAGCCCTAAACTTAAAAAAAAATTTAAAAAAAAAGCCCTAAACTTGGAAACTCTGGAGGCAACCCACTCGCTGCCCTCCTCCCCGCAAGAGCTTTAAACTCTTGCTCAATAAACTTTGCTTTGCTGCCCACCACTCTCCGTCTGATCTACCTTTACATTCTTCAAAATGGCATGACCAAGAACCTGGGCACTGAGGGGACAAAAATCCTGTAACATTTAGAGGTCCCATCACAAAAGAACGAACGAAGCCTCACTGGAGGTTAAGGTTTCAACAAATGACTTTGAGGATGGAAGGGTCACAAATATTAAGGCCATAATTATAATTAACACTGCTGAACTGTACACTTAAAAACAGTTAAGATGATTGAAGAAGAAGAAGAAGAATGAAGAGTAGGAGGAGGCAATGGCAGGAGCATAAGAACCAGAACTTCTTGAGGAAATGACTAAATCTAGGGTCAGGGCACAAAAAACCCAAGATGAGTCTGGGGCACCTTTTAGTCTTTTAGTGCTAGAAAATGAGGAAGTACTCAAAAACTTAAAAAAAAAAAAAAAAAAAAAACGAGGGCATGTCAGAAGGACACAGGAACCAAGCTGACAAAACTCCCAATGGCTAAAAATGAAACAATTAAAGCAAGAAAATAAATAATAGTATTGGAGTATAACTCAGGAATAAAAAAGAACTATGACTTCATACTGACTGTTTTTTATCTGCATGCACTTTTTTTTTTTTAATTAAAGTTTTGTTTGTTTTTTTATTTGATAGACAGATCACAAGTAGGCAGAGAGGCAGGCAGAGAGAGACAGGAGGAGGAGGCAGGCTCCCCACGGAGCAAAGAGCCCGATGCAGGACTCGATCCCAGGACCCTGAGATCATGACCTGAGCCGAAGGCAGAGGCTTTAACCACTGAGCCACCCAGGCGTCCCATGCATGCACTTTTAATTAAAGTTGTACATATTTATTACTCAGCCATCAAAAAAAATGAAATCTTGCCATTTGCAATGACGTGGGTGGAACTGGTGGGTATTATGCTAAGCGAAATGAGTCAGAGAAAGACAAATACCGTATGATTTCACTCATATGTGGAATTTGAGAAAACAAACAGATGAAGGGGAAGGGAAGGAAAAATAAGAGGAAAACAGAGATGGAGGCAAACCATAAGAGACTCTTAATTATGGGGAACAAACTAAGGGTTGCTGGAGGGAGGTGGGTAGGGGGTAAGGGATAATTGGATGATGGGCATGAAGGAGAGCACTTGAAGCAATGACCACTGGGTGTTATACACAACTGATGAATCACTGAATTCTACCTCTGAAACTAATAATACAGTATATGTTAATTAATTTGGGAAAAAATGTATCTATTTAAAGCATTTAATGTGGAATTTTTGATGTAAGTACACATTGTGAACCGATTACCACAAACTAATTTACATATTCAACACTTCCAACAGTTACCGTCTCTGTGTGGGGGTGTGGGGGTATGGTGAGAACACCTGAAATCTACTTTTTTTTTTTTAAGATTTTATTTATTATTTATTTATTTGACAGAGAGAGAGAGAAAGAGCACAAGCAGGAGGAGTGGTAGGCAGAGGGAGAGGGAGAGAGAAAAACAGGCTCTCACTGAGCAGGGAGCCTGACCCGGGACTCAATCCCAAGGCCGTGGGATCATGACCTGACCCAAAGGCAGACACTTAACAGATTTAACCAACTGAGCCATCCAGGTGCCCCTAAATCTACTCTCTTAACAAACTTCAAGTTTTTGTTTTTTTAAGTAGGTTGCCACACCTAACATGGGGCTTGAACTCACAACCCCAAGATCAAAAGTCACGTGCTGTGGCTGAGCCAGCCAGGGGCCCCTCAAGTATATATTATTTTTTAATAGCTTTACTGAGGTACAATTAACATATATGCATGCATCACTGAAACTATTACCACAATCTAGAAAATAAATATATTTGTCACCCCTGAAAATTTACTTGTGTACTCAACTACTGTCCTTCTGCCTCTCCCATTCCCCTTTCTCTAGGCCTCCACTGATCTGCCTTCTGTCACCATAGATTAGTTTGTATCTATCCCAAGTCTTTCATAAAAGGAAACTCATCCATGTTGAAGTGTGTATCAATAATTCATTCTTTCTTATCCTGAATATATTCCAACCTATGCATAGACCAGACCAGTTTGTTTATCCACTCTCTTAATACATTACCATCAAGTACAGTCACCATGCTGTATGTACATTGGGTCTCCAGAGCTTATTCACCTTGTCACTGAAAGCTTGTACTCTTTGATCAGTATCTCCCCTCTCCCCCATTCACTAGCCTCTGGTAATGACCTTTCTACTCTGTTACTATGAGTTCAACATTTTTTTCCTTTTCTTCGTTTTTTTCGATCCAATAGTGAGATCATGCAAATTTGTCTTTCTGCTCTGGCTTATTTGACATAGACAATATCCTCTAGTTTCATCTATGTTGTTGCAGATAGCAGGATTTCTTTCTTCTTTTAAGGCTGAATAATTTTCTGTTCTATATATATTCTCATATATACAGTGTATATAAATATGTATTTTTTTCTTTACCTATCCACAGACATTAAGTTTGTTTCTGTATTAGGGTTAATATGAATAATGCTGCAATGAACATGGCAGTGTGGCTATCTCTTCAAAATAGTGATTTTATTTCCTTTGGATATATAACCGTAAGTGAGATTGTTGGAGTTCCATTGTTGATGTAGTTGTAGTTCCATTTTTGATGTTTTCAGGGGCCCCCAAACTGTTCTGTAGTGGCTATACTAATTGACATCCCCATTCACTTTGTTGTTTCCTTTGCTGTATAAAAACTACTTAATCTCACATAGTCCCCCTTGTTTATTTTTGCTTTTTGGTTTGTTTTCTTGTTTGGGGGCGGTTTCTGGCTTTTTTGCTTTTTTTTTTAAGGCTTGAACTCATGATCCTGAAATCAGGACCAAAGATCAGGACCAGAGATCAGGATTTCAAATCAAGAGTCAGACTCTTAATCAACTAAACCTCCCAGGTGCCCCTATTGCTGCAGGGTTTCAGGATTCTTCTCTCGCAGAGTGAAAGAATGGATCTCAAGTACAAAAGGAGGAAGTGAAGTGAAAGTTTATTAAGTGAAGATGAGGACAAAAAGTAAAGAAAAGAACCCACTGAAGGGAGAGGGGTTCCAAATGGCCTGCCACTGCTTTTATGGCCAGTTTTTTATGGGAAACTGACCAGGGAACTTGGTAAATTTATTGTCAATATCATGATGGATTTGTGACTATCATGTCAATATTTAGAACAAACATGGAAGACTTGTAACTATCATGAGAACAAACAGGGTGTTCTTGTAAGTATCATATCTATTTCTCCACATCTGGGATTTCTGTGACCCTGATTACATCTACATTCCCCCCTACACACATACCATGACCCCAGTCACTTCTAGCCTCGCCTGTCCCTTACTATTTGTTACCTGTGCTTTTAGTGTACATTCCAAAAAATCACTATCAAGATTGAGTCAAAGAGTTTTTCCCCTGTTTTCTACCAGGAGTTTTACAGTTTCAGTCTTAGTTTTAAGACTTTAATTTATTTCCATTGTTTTTATATATGGTGTAAAAAAAAAGGGGGGGTGGGGGTTCCAATGTCATTCTTTTGCATGTGGATATACAGTTTTCCCAACATCATTTATTTAAGAGACTATACTTTCCCAATTAATTGTATATTCTTTATGCCTTTGTCAGAAATTAGTTGACTATACACATGTGGGTGATAGAACTTTCTTCCTACCCTTTTTGTGTGGTTATTCTCGAGTTTTTCTGTCCCACTGTGTTGCTGATGCTTAAGTAGATTCCTGAGATCTTTCAGAGCTATTCTTATTAGTAAATAGCTGTCTATTCTTCTTTGTGGAGGGATAAAGGCTGGAGTCTCCTAATCTGCCATCATGGTGATGTCACTCCTCTGAATCCATATAATTTAAAGACATTATTGAACAAACAAATAAATAAATAAATAAATAAGAGAAAAGTTATATATCTTTCATACAGATTCCAAATAATATATGCAGGCACTCCCCCATCATGATACTCAATTTAATTCTCCTCCCTATGAGTATTGGCAAGACTTAGTGACTCACTTCCAAAGAATGACATATGGTTAGTAGAAAACAGTAACTTTACAGTAGAGAAACCTAGCAAACACAACCTTTAACATAAAAACAGGGTGAATCTTATAAATCACCAGTAATAAGTCTTATTGATATCATGTACCACCAATATGATGCAATAAGAAAGATACCTAATTACTATGGTATATTTTACCAAAATCCATAATCTAAGTCTAAAGATGAAAAAAAATAATAAATTGAGAAGTAGTCTACTAAATATCTGACTAGTACTCTTAACTATATCAAGGTTATGAAAAATAAGGAAATACTGAGGAACTACAACAGACCAAAGGATTAAGGAAATATAAATGCAAGGCAGTATCCTGGATTAGATCCTAGAACAGAAAACAAACATCAGTGAAAACCTGGTGAAGTTCAAAGAAAACCTGCAGTTAGTTAATAATAGTAGGGCAGTTATTCTTAGTTTTGATTCAATGATTAAATGATTATTTAATATGTTAACCTTAGAAGTAATGGGGTAAAGGATATGAAAAATTGCTATGTACTATCTTCTAAAAATCTGACATTATTCCCAAATAAAAATTTTATTTAAAAAAAGACAACATAATGCATTCTCCCTATAATGTATTTGATGTCCAGCATACAATAAAAAAGTATTACAACGCAGAAAAATAAGAAATTGTGGGCCACCACTCAGAGAAAAGTAAATAACTAAAAAGAAACTTAAGATGACATAGGTGTTGGAATCAGCAAACAAGGACTTTAATAGCTGTATAAATATGCTCAAAGACAAGAGGAAAATATGGTCATAATGAACAAGAAGATGAAGAACCACTGCAGGAAAACAGAAAGAACCAAGTAAAATTCTTAATCAGAAAGGAATATGGCTGGTGCTGCTTGTGTGCTTGTTTGGTGCTGACCTGGTACCTCTTTTATGAAGTGACAGCAGAAGAGACTCATGCTTGCCATGGCCGACAAAAAGCCCAAGGAAGGAGTCAAGACTGAGAACAACGATCGAATTAGTTTGAAGGTGGTGGGGCAGGATGGTTCTGTAGTGCAGTTTAAGATTAAGAAGGATAGGGGCACCTGGGTGGCTCAGTGGGTTAAAGCCTCTGCCTTCAGCTCAGGTCATGATCCCAGGGTCCTGGGATCGAGCCCCGTATCGGGCTCTCTGCTCAGCAGGGAGCCTGCTTCCTCCTCTCTCTCTGTCTGCTTCTCTGCCTACTTGTGATCTCTGTCTGTCAAATAAATAAATTAAAAAAAAAAAAGATTAAGAAGCATACACCACTTAATGAACTAATGAAAGGCTATTGTGAACGACAGGGTTTGTCAATGAGGCAGATCAGATTCTGATTTGATAGGCAGCCAATCAATAAAACAGACACACCTGCACAGTTGGAAATGGAGGCTGAGGATACAATTGATGTGTTTCAGCAGCAGACAGGAGTGTCTACTAAAAAGGGAACCTGCTACTTTACTCCAGAATTCCATTCCTCTATACCAAAAAGATGTTCTCAATTAGAAAGCCACAATTGGATTCCACCACATCCTGACTACTACAGTAGTTTTCTCTATTCTTTCATTTTCCCCTTCCCTATTCCTTTATTGTACATAAAGGAACTGTGTATGTGCACAAACGTATCGCATTTTTTTTTAAGTAAATGGCCAGTGGTATGTTTTGATCAACATCAAATGGAGGTGGGATGGAGGAAAACACTGCTTCTGTGAAAATACCCACTCTCTCCATTAGTCGCATGCTCAGTCAGCTCTTACGTTTATATTCCAGTAAGTTATTTTGCTCTCACAGTTTAACAAAAAAAGAAAAACATAAAATTCCTTGCACACCTTGTTTGATTGGAGAATTTTAATATTCTTCATTTATCATTATAAAACTAAGAACAATTTTATAACTTTTTTGTATGTAGCTGTTACATGTAGGGTACTCTGTCTTTAAGTAGGGATAAATTAAAAGCAATGAATCCTAGATAGTTTTCCCTTCAAGTCAAGCATCTTGTTGTTTAAACTTGTTTAAAATGAAAAAAAAAAATAAATAAATAAATAAAAAATAAAATGAGAAAAAGGGGCACCTAGGTGGCTCAGATGGTTGGGCATCTGCCTTTGGCCAGGATCCTGGGATCAAGACCCGCATTGAGCCCCACATTGAGCACTGCACCGGACTCTCTGCTCAGTGGAAAGCCTGCTGCTCCCTCTCCCACTCCCCCTACTTGTGTTCCCTCTCTCGCTCTCTCTGTCAAATAAATGAATAAAAATCTTTTTAAAAAATGAAAAAAAAAGTGGGGGGGGGGGTGACTGGGTGGCTCAGTGGGTTAAAGCCTCTGCCTTTGGCTCAGGTCATGACCTCAGGACCCTGGGATCGAGCCCTGCATCGGACTTTCTGCTCAGCAGGGAGCCTGCTTCCCTTCCTTTCTCTCTGCCTGCCTCTGTGCCCACTTGTGATCTCTGTCTGTCAAATAAATAATAAATAAAATATTTTTTAAAAAATAAAAAAAAGATCATGACCCATAATTTTTTAAAAAAACTAAAATTAAAAGCCCCCCAAAATTAAAAATTAATTAAAGATAAAAAACCAACTGAATGGGATTATCGGCAAACTGGAGAGGACAGAAGAAAAGGTCAATGGAATATGAAGATAGATTGCTAGAAATTATCCAATATAAATAACAGAAAAAATAAGTAAGTAGAGCCTCAATGATCTGCAGAACAATATCAAGTGCTAATAAGTGAAGCCCCAGAAAAAGAGGAGAAAATAATGGAGCAGGAAAACAATTTGAAGAATTAATGATCAAATATTTCCCAAATTTAGTGCAAAATGTACAGATATGAGATATTCAATGAACCCCTTTCAGGATAAATATAAGGGAATCCCACCTAAGAACATCATAACAAAACTGCTGAAAACCAGATAAAGAGAAAATATTGCAAGTAGCCAGAGAAAAACAACATATTAACAGAGGGGAATAATAACGTGAATGATTTCTGAATTCCCATCAGAAACCAAGAAGGAGAAAGACAATGGAACTCCATTTTTTAAAAGGTAAAATAATAATACTATTGGTACAGCCACTATGGAAAAGAACATGGAAGTTCCCCCAAAAAATTAAAAACAGAACCACCATATTATCCAGTAATTCCACTTCTGGGTATGTAGCTAAAGGAAATTAAATCATAATGTCAAAGAAGTATCTGCACCCTCTTGTTCACTACAGCATTATTCACAATAGTTAAGACATGAAAACAACCTATGTGCCTATCAAAGGATGAATGGATAAAGAAAATGTGGTATACAGATATAATGGAATAGTATTAGGCATAAAAATGAAAGAAATCCTGCCATTTGTGACAACATGGATGGACCTTGAGAGCATTATGCCAAGGGAAATAAATCAGAGAAAAACAAATGCTACATAATCCCATTTATATGTAGCATCTTAAAAAACCAAACTCGGGGTGCCTGGGTGGCTCAGTGGGTTGGAGCCTCTGCCTTCGGCTTGGGTCATGATCCCAGGATCCTGGGATGGAGCCCCGCATCAGGCTCTCTGCTCGGCAGGGAGCCTGCTTCCTCCTCTCTCTCTCTCTGCCTTTCTGCCTACTTGTGATCTCTGTCAAATAAATAAATAAAATCTTTAAAAAATATAAAATAAAATAAAATAATTAAAAAACCAAACTCATATTAATAGAGAGAATGGAGGTTGCCAGAGGCTGAGGGGTGGAACAAATGAGATGTAGGTCAAAAGGTATAAACTTCCAGTTATAAGATGAATAAGAAAGAAAGAAAGAAAGAAAGAAAAAGAAAGAGAAAGAAAGAAAGAATTAGGTGAAGTGTTGGATGTAGTAACTTATGCGGTAATCATTTCACAATATATACATATATCAAATCATCACACTGTAAACCTTAAAATTATACAATGTTATATGTCAATTATATCTCAATAAATCTGGGGTGTGTGGTAAATGATACTACCAGCCAGAATTCTATATCCAGCAAACACATCCACCAAAAATAAAGAGGAAGAAAAAAACACTTTTATTTAAAGAAAACAGAGCATTGTCATTAGCAGTCCAGCACTATAAGAAATGTTAAAAGCAGCTTTTCATACTAAAAAGAAATGTCACAAGATGAAAATGTAGACTTATAAGACTGAAGAAGAACAGAAATGATAAATACATAGGAACATATAAAAGATTGTGTTTTTCTTAACTTCCTTAAAAGAAAGAAGAAACAAAGGAAAATAAAACACACAAGACGAACTGTAAACAAAGAGCAAAATGACAGACCTAGTGCCAACCATATCAATAACTGAATTCATCATAAATGCACTAAATACATCAAATAAATGGCAGAGATTGGAACACTAGGGAAAAAAGCAAAAAACTGACGATATGCTGTATATAACACATGCACTGTAGACATAATAACACAAAGAGTTGAAAGAAAGTATAGAAAAAGATACCTGCAAACAGTAAACAAAAGTAACCTGAAGTGGTATATCGGTTTCTTAATGTTGCTGTAACAAATACCATACAGTGGCTTAAAACAATGTACCTTTATTCTTTCACGGTTCTGGGTGTCAAAATTTTTAAATGAAAATGTTGGAAGGCTGCTTTCCTCTGGAAGCTTTAGAGAAGAATTCATTTTCTTTATTTGTCCTGCATCTTTCAAAAGGGGGGTATTTTTTATGTATTACTTGGGGGGGGGTGGAAGACAACATGAGTGGGGAAGGGGCAAAGGGAGAGGGAAAGAGACAATCTCAAGCAGACTCTGTGCTGAACACAGAGCTTCATGTGGAGCTTGATCTCACAATCCTGAGATAATGACCTGAGCCAAAACCAAGAGTCAGAGGCTTAACCAACTGAGCCACCCACGCACCCCAATTTTTCCTGCTTCTATAGGCTGCCTGAATTCTTCGGCTTGCAGCCCCTTCCTCCATTTCAAAGTGCATCACCCCACTGCCCGTTTCCATCATCATATCTCCTTTTTCTAACTTTTACTTTACTGCTTCACTGTAATTATACTAGATCTACCTGGATAATCCAACATAATCTCCAATGCAAGATTCTTTTTATTTTTTTATAAACATATATTTTTATCCCCAGGGGTACAGGTCTGTGAATCGCCAGGTTTACACACTTCACAGCACTCACCATAGCACATACCCTCCCCAATGTCCATAACCCCACCCCCCTTCTCGCAACCCCCCTCCCCCCAGCAACCCTGAGTTTGTTTTGTGAGATTAAGAGTCACTTATGGTTTGTCTCCCTCCCAATCCCATCTTGTTTCATTTATTCTTCTCCTACCCCCTTAACCCCCCATGTTGCATCTCCACTTCCTCATATCAGGGAGATCATATGATAGTTGTCTTTCTCTGATTGACTTATTTCGCTAAGCATGATACCCTCTAGTTCCATCCACGTCGTCGCAAATGGCAAGATTTCATTTCTTTTGATGGCTGTCCAATGCAAGATTCTTAATTTAATTGTATCTACAGAGTTTCTTTTGCCATGTAAGGAAATGTAATCACAGATTCCAGGTATTAGACATAGACATCTTTGGAGGTGGGAATGGGGGACATTCTTTAGACTACCACAAGTGGTTCTATTAATATACAACAAAATTGACAAGTAAAAAGAGGTACATTTCATAGTTATATGAATCACAGCATCAAGTACACATAACAACTGCAAATGAGTATGAACCTAATAATACAACTTCAAAACATATGAAGCAAAACCTCACTGAATTAAAAAAGAAATAAGCAAATCCATAATTATAGTTGAAAATTTAAACACCCCTTTCTCAATAACTGATAAACAATTAGACAAAAAAAATCAGTAAAATTTTAAAATTTTTAAACAATATTATAACCATCTTGACTTAGTTGAAGTATATCCAACAAAATGATACCAAATAACTACAGAATATGTGTGCCTTTCAAGTGTAAATGGAATGTTTACCAAGTAAATTACAATACTGGATAATAATACAAGCTTTAATGAATTTCAATATGTTACAATCTTAAAGATGTGTTCTACAGCCAGAGTAGAATCAATAACAAGAAAAAATCTAGGAAGTTCCTAAATACTTAAAAATTTTACAGCACACTTATAATCATCAGAGAAATAAAAATCAAAATACAATGAGGTATGACCTCATACCTGTTAGAATGACTACTTCTAAAAATAGCCAGGGGCACCTGGGTACTTTGGTTCAAGTCATGATCTCAGAATCCTAGGATCAAGGTCAGAGTCCTGGAATCAAGCTCCCCTGCTCAGTGGAGAATCTGCTTGTCCCTCTCCCTCTGCCTCTCTCTTTCAAATAAATAAAATCTTTTTTAAAAATAACAAAAAAAAAAAAAAAAAAAACCAAGAAATAACAAGTGTTTATTAGAGTATTGGAAAGGATGTGAGGAAAAAGCAACCCTGGGCAC